GCATAATTGTTCTGGGAATCGACACATTTATTGGGTCTGTTATACTGCTCATGAGCTCGCAGTTTACTATATTACGAGAAGCTATTGTGACGGCATACGATCGCACTATAATAAAGATGTATATGAATGCAAAACATCAGCATGATTTTTCGAAAGCGGTGATTCCAAATGACGAAGAAAGTTTTGACCACACTACGCACGATGAGATGGAAGATCTTGTGTTGGCTCGCTTTTCAGAGAAAGAGGTAGAGTTAACGCTGCAAGAAACATTGAAAAATTGCTTCCGACAACACCAGGTACTAACAGGGTGCCTTAGTTAATAAAATAAGGCAGTGAGCAGATGGCCATAAATCAAGCTGTTTGAGCTGCCAAGAAAAAATACTTATTCTATGTCCTTCGACCAAAACTGTTTACATTTCAGATGCGTCGAGAATTTTGCGGAGACTTACTCGTACGAATTCATGACTCCACTTATATCTAGCACTAGCTGACCCGGCGAACTTCGTACCGCCTTAGCGTAGAGATTTTCTTAATATTTTTTTCCGTAAGAACCATCCTTGGACTTCCACAAACATTTAAAAAAAAGAATTATCGAAATCGGTTCAGCCGTTCACACGTGATGCCGTGACAACACGAAACGGGTTTCATTTTTATATATATAGATAGATAGATGACGGCCATTTGCGTAGTAATGGTCCAAGTTTCGGTAATAGCCATAATTATTAATATTAACTAAGTAATAGCATTAATTGCGTAATATTATTTGCACATAGGTAAAAAAGAATTCTCTAATCTGTCTTTTATTCATTTCTTCCGTTATCTTTCTGTGACATAAAATACCATGGAAGTGCTGTAATGTAAATTTAAAATTTCAGCAAGATGCTTCTAGCTTCAAATCTATTCGTCTGGTTACTTCCCTAGCATTCTTCATGGCCATGATTATTCAACTAGGTCTACAATGTTTCACTGGAAATGAGCTTACGTTAGAAGTAAGTATATTTTTTTCAGAATATTACCACTTTTAATGCAAATAAATTGTATTTTATTCTCAGCCAGCAGACGTTTACCTACCTATATTTCTTGACTCTATCATAATGTGTTTAATAAATAAAAAGTTACTTACCTCCAGGCGGCTCGCATCTCAGATGCAGTGATGGAGTGTAAGTGGGAGCGCATGCCGCCGAGCCTTCGGAGGATGCTCATCATGGTGATGATGAGGGCACAGCGTCCGCTCCGCTTGTCTGCTGCGGGCTTCGCTTACATGAACAACGACTGCTTTGTGGCGGTAAGTAATTGGTGTTGTATAAATAGGAGCCGAGTCAGACGCCTATGGCTCACCAAGTTTGGCATAAGTGTGTACAGTATGAATAGAAGTGACACAGTGCAATGTGGGAGCGCATGCGCAAGGCTTGGCGCCTTCTTAAGATGCTTGTTATAATGATGATGAGTAGAGATGGGTTTCCACCCGGGTAAAAACCCACATGAGGGTAAAACCCCGTTTCATTCCACCCGTGGGTGTTTACACCGGGTGAAAACAAATAATTTTNAAAATACATGTTAAAAGCATTACTGTATTCCGGCATTTGGAGGTAGGAAGCCATAGTTCCCCTGTAGTTGAAGTTCCCTTCCACCTTCAGCCTAATCATCAGTTTCCTCCAGGTGTGATGAAGGGCAAGAGCTTCCTCGTTGAGAATAAAAACATGTTCTGCCTAGTAACTGCTTTAAATCTGTTCTACGTAATGTAAACGTAGAGGATTCCCAATATTAATTCACTCTAAGAAAGTCAAAAACATGTATAGGAATCTCCGTCTTACCACTTTAGTGGACCGATTACAGGAAATAGAGGCCTATTAAGTACATGTTTTTTTGTATTATTGTGAGAGTTCAGGAAACGGCGCAGTTTTTAAAATGGTTTTGGACCTATGGAAGTTCTTTTTTTTACTTAAACTTTTAAGTTGAAAATTTGATAGTGTTCTGATAAAAGCATAATTTTAATGTTTCTAGCAAAAGTTTTGTATCTTAAATCAAAGATAGAAAGGTGATTATTGTTTTCAAACATCTGCAATTCATAACAAATCTGTCGAAAAAAAGAAATCTGAAAAAAGTCAACCCAAAAAAAAAGATAAAAATGTTTAAAGCCTACTAGGTCATAAAATTTTAAAATATCACAAAATTAACTCAATCTCCTAAACTAAGCACAATCGTATAATATACATGGGGGTGATTTAGGTACACCTTGATGTAAGGAATCTAAATTTTTCTTTTAATTTAGTCCAGTAGAATTAGCTTTTAAATCGGAAATAATTCCTACAAAAGATTTTATTGTTTTAATGGCTTTATTGGTTGCCCATTAAGACTCTCCTAAGTTTTCGACTTCGACGGAGTTGTGCTTAAGTGGTGGGGGCCCCCGAAAGAGGCAATTTTTCGGTTTTCTGGTTATACCGCGTAAAGAACTTACCCTATCAAAAAATGGTCTTCATGACGGTTGAAGGGCACTTAATCCTGCATTGAATAAGACCAAATTCATATGTTTTGGACAAACCGTTCTCGCGCTAAAGTTCGGCAAAGTAGAAAATATACGTATAATTAATNTTGCATTACGTAACACTAGAACGTCCCCTTAGCAACAAATACCATTTCTCACTTTAAAAAAACGCTATTTTTGTTTTCACCCGCCAGAATGGGTGATAATGGGTAAAAACCGGGTTTTTACCCGAATCACCCGGTTTAAACCCAATCGGGTGAAATGGGTTTTTACCCACTACCCATCTCTAATGATGAGGGCTTTGCTTTATATTAACGACTGATTTTTGGGGGTGTGTAAGTAGGTATACGGTGTAGTTTGAATAGGAGTAGGTATGTCACTTATGGCCATGACTGTGTATCTTGGACGAATAAACCACTGGACACGAAACCTACAAAATTTCTAAGGAAACACCATGGACCTATAAAAAAAGGCGGACGGAACTCGCGCTACAACAAAACTGTGACGCAAAATTTTGGCGTTTGTCTATTGTGTGAGTGAATTTAGGGATGCCATGTTAGCCAAAACATTTTACCCATTTATCTTAAGAAAAACATAGATGGGCAGATATGTTACTTGGAAATGTAGACGAAATTATATCGTGCCATTTGAAAAGGATGAAAGATGAATACGTTGAGGTAGACGCGAAATTTTCAAATTTTCTTACTTTGTTTGCAAGTCAGTGTCAGGTACGATTCACGCAGTTACAAATTATCAATCTTGTGTACCTACGTAATCATATTCTTATGTATCATCAATATTATTATCTCTGATAGATTTTAACATACAACCTGACACTGACTTGCAAAAATATAAGAAAATTTGAATTTCGTAGTTCCACGCCCTTGGGAAGGATCAAATCTGCCTACGAAAATATATATTATCCCATTAAAACACAGTTATTATGATACATTATTTTATTTCAATAGTATGCGTAATAAAAACCTAAAAAGTCTTAAAATTATAGATTTCCCACTTTTCGGGTAATTTTCCCACGTAAATAACTGAGAACACTGGCTTTTGACGTATTATTTTGTCGGGTGATTGACGTTTGATTTTAATATTTTAATGTTTATAAAATCGGGGAAATAAGTGATTAGATTATTAGTTTACCTGTGAAATGTGATTCCTTGATTTTTGTTCGTTCGATCAGAACGGTTTTTACACAATTTCACCACGCAAGACATGTCGTATTTGTGTTTTTTTTTCGCCGCGTAAATGTGTCAACTGTGTGAAGTTTGCACTCGAAGTGGTGTATCAGGGTATGAATGTGTGCGTGCCGGCCTGTACGTACAGGCGAGCTGGTATATCCTAATGTCACAGTATTTTGTTGATGAGAATCCGTCCGATTCTTCCGCAAAATGAATGCTACAAATGCAGTGGTTTTTAGTTGGAATCCACGTATTTTGTCTTCTGACTGCCTCTATCCACTTTCTCCTTCTATTTGGATCCACTGGAAATCTAAAATTAATTTGAATAATTTCAGTTTCAGTTTGTTTGGTATATCGATAAACTTATCGACATTTTTCAAGCCCTTTACGTCATAAAAAATGAGATGTGAATGAATGAATGAAACCTATAATCCAACCAAATTAAATATGCTACATGTTTTAAGCATTTACATGTACAATGAGTACTTTTTAAAATAACGTAATCATATTTTGTTTACATATCAAATTTTATTTATTTTACGAAAAAATAGCTACTATAATAGATTTAAAATGTACTTACGCGTGATAAGAAACTTTTCTTGTGTGACCGGAATAATTTTTGCAATAAAGTATGGCGCATTTACCCATTTTTCGTGATATTTTTACTCTTAGAGAGCTCGCGTCATACTGACAAAGTGACAACCTGACAACATTTACCATGGCTAATTTAGCCTTGGCAAGTGCTAGCGGGGTAAAGACGAAAACGTCACTCGTTACGCGTCCAGTGGTTTATTCGTCCAAGCTGTGTATCCATTAGCTGACAACAGTTGGCAATACGAAACTCACACTTAATTTAAACAAAAAATAATGTTTTTTTCATCTTATGAGTATTGTTGCAAAACAACGCTTACTAACTACATACCTACAACTAAATAAAGCTGTGTTTAACTTGAATTTCCCTCGTCTGTGCGTCAGACATTGTCTTTGCCCTCATACATTATCGCCAATTTTTCAGCTTCCAACTTGTTTTGTCTTTTTTTCATTTGCAGATAATGAAGGCAGCGTATTCATATTATGCAGTGTTGAGTCAGAAGGCAGAATAAAACACTCAAATGATTTCTTAATTTATATATTTGACACCTTTGTAGCTTAATTTTATTGACGCATTGACTAACTCTAAACTATCACAGTTGTTCCGCAGGTATAAAATTATACAAAAGTAATAAATAAACTACCAATAACCCTAGACCTAGTTTATGTATTCTATCGCCTCCACCCGTAGTTACAAAGACTGAGCTTTAATTTATTGATACAATTTGTGTCTAATTAGAAGGAAAATTTTATGGGACTCGTACTTTTCTTGGTATTTCTTTGTACTTTAAGCATTAGAAGCATTGGAAGTTTCACAAGATATAAAAGTAGGTATAATGCTTCTAGATAAAATAATGCTCGTCATAGATTTCGATTCGATAAAGTCGCTTAGGTACATATTTTTTTGCCAACTGGGAACGTAAGTAGCTTACGCACGCAACTCCAAAATGAAAATTGTAACTACGTAGAGTGGTCTCAATCAAAATGTAATAACTCTCTCTAACAACCGCAACTGGATTTTATTCCTTGAGTCGCGTAATTATTTTGTCAAAGTTAAGTATTATTAATTCCACTAAAGATCCTGATTCCGAGCAGTTTACTGCAAGATTATCGAAAGACCATTTTGTTCTTAAGATACGGTCTCATAAAATGTTCCATGTCTATAATGTAGTACATCATAGTTCTAAGAGAGGCTGCTTTGGCGTGACAGGGCGGGACTGCTCACCTTCTTCCATGGGCAATGTAGTCTTAACGTCGAGAACTGTCATCTCTTCCGACCTGGAAGAAACATTTTCAGCTCAGAGCAACGAAAAATACGAGTTATTAGTAAAAAGCACTGTACTAGATGTTATGGACCTATAAAATCTAAGATTAATGATCAGAATTCGTGAAAGCTACAACAAATCTTCACTCGTGTACATTTCTACGCACAAAAATGCATTAAGCACAAGATAAAAATTAGAAGTAGAGCGTGCGTATGAAAATTTTCTAATGTTTTTGAAATTCTACTAAGATTGATTACGCACTGCAGCCGATTCGAATCACGAGAATTCAGCCCGAAGTAATTATTTTCCATGAAAGGTACAGATTAAGGCGGTTATCACACTGCGCCGCGCTCCGCCGCGGAGCGCGTGAATTTTATATAAAAAATCACGCGCGCGGACGCGTTGTCAGTGTGAATTGCCGCGTGTGTTTTCTATATAAACTAAGGTACTTGCATACAATGATTAAATCTGTTGCCCCGGATAACCGCCTATGTAGATGATAGATTTAGACATAAATAAAATGTATGGTTTTTTAGTCAAGTTTTTTACTCTACTAGACTGAAGCATGGATAAATTAGTAATTTTTTTGTTGTAAGAAGGTTATAAAAACTCGCGGATTTAAAAAAAATGCAAATAATTACAGCTATACTTCGGATCGACATTTCTCATCGAAGTGCAAAGTGCAAACTAAATACTACCGCAAACAAGTCAAGGTCATTTTTCCTTTCAAAGAAAAATAATGTAAAAGTAAAAAATAAACATGACATAATTTACAAGGTGCGTAAGTAATATTTCTCTTCCATTTCACATTACCACGGTGTTTGAATTCTACTCAGTATGTTAGTCACGTAACAACATGTCTACCTATGGGAACGTACGTACTGTTTGCTATAGAAATACGGATTTATTTCACGCCCTTCCTAAACAAGCAAGAATTCTGAAGCTATTTCCTGGTAAAAAACAAAAAGGTAGGGTAAATACACGGAAATTAAAGGACGTGACGACTTTTAATTGTAAACAAAACAGCGTCACAGTATTTTTATTTTAACTCAAAGCCTGATCAGCTTTGTAGGTGTACCGTATAATTTATCAAAGTCAAAGAACATAACTCTACATAATTAGAAGGCAAAAAGGTATTACTTGTTCGTACATATTGTGAGTCAGCTAATTGTAAGCAATCAACATTAACATTAAGATTTCAAACACAAGAGCTGTTGAGGAGATACCTAAACACCAAACGTAAACTACCGAAAACGCGAAGATTTCATACATTTTCTTATTTGTTAATTAAAAATAATGTTCTTTGACTCACTCAGATTTGACCAAAATTCTGTTAACAGGGATTTGAAATTGACCTGTCTAACAATTCGCCCTTAGATGTTAAAAAAAGTGATGGAACTCTGTCACTTACCTCGCGTCTTCACTCGAGTGGGCAGCGTTGTAGAACACACTCGGTAGCGGGGAATCATGCTGGCTGATGAGCGAGCTGCCAGCTCGAGGAGTATGCCGGCCATGACTGGCATACGGCGAGAACGGAACCATCGCTCGGAGGGTCGCCAGAACCAGCAGCATGCCACCTCAAGAACAAAACACAATCGTCATTATCAATAGCTTACGTCATCAGAACAAAAGCCTTGATGAAGGTTAATGATGACATTCATACAATAATTTCCATTGTAAAATTCAGTCGGTAATTGTAGGTACTTATTATCGTTGTTCCAAGTTTTGCATATCTGATTTATTGGTAAAATTGGAGATGTTACAAGTTAAGGACAATTCTTAAACTAATTACCCGACCGCGCCAGAAGGAGGGTTATTTAACACACTCATTACCTACTTTTCTATTTCAAAGAAAAACTCAAGGCGAGAAAAATGATTTTCTAAAAATCCCAAACCCATTATCAATATCAATCTACATACATACGCTGATAAACACAATACCCTCCTTTGCGCCGTGCAGTCGTGTTTAAAAAAAAACAAATGAATGATTTCGCATTTGAGATGCCACGCAGGAAAACGTGACGTAGCTACGCGCAACGAGCCGTAGCACTTTTGTGACTTTTACGTTAAAAGTTCAAAGGTTTTAATTTCATACAATGTTCAGACAATATTAGGTACGGAACGCAACGGTGTGTGTGCACACGTATTTACTAGTAGATTCATAAACATCTTCTCCAGAATGTCACCTGACCCAATGACAGGAATAAATTACTTACCAACCTGCAGCAGTAGCTCTACATCGATTCCAAGTAAGTTCACTAACATTGTCTCCAGAATGTCACCTCAGCCACGAATGCTTGTAATAGCAGTAATCAGAAGATAATAAAATACCTGCAGCAGTAGCCAGCAGAGTAAGGTAGCAGGTTCATAAGTACTCTATAGACTAGCAACAACTAAGAAGATAAACAAATACCTGCAGCAGTAGCCAGCAGAGTAAGGTGCGAGAACAGCAGCGCCGTGGCCACACACGCGTAGAACGGCGCTCGCGCTCGAGCACACGACCATCTCATGAAGTCCCAGCATCGCAACGATAGTGTGTACTCTCCTCTCTTGTCCAGCAGGTTCACAAGTACTCTATAGACTAGCAAAAACTAAGAAGATAAACAAATACCTGCAGCAGTAGCCAGCAGAGTAAGGTGAGAGAACAGCCTGCAGCGTCGTGGCCACACACGCGTAGAACGGCGCTCGCGCTCGAGCACATGACCATCTCATGAAGTCCCAGCATCGCAGCGATAGCGTGTACTCTCCTCTCTTGTCCAGCAGTTTCACAAGTACTTTATTATAGACTAGCAAAAACTAAGAAGATAAACAAATACCTGCAGCAGTGGCCAGCAGAGTAAGGTGTGAGAACAGCAGCGCCGTGGCTGCACACGCGTAAAACGGCGCTCGCGCACGAGCGCACGACCATCTCATAAAGTCCCAGCATCGCAGCGATAGTGTGTACTCTCCTCTTATGGCCAGCAGGTTCACAAGTACTCTATAGACTAGCAACAACTAAGAAGATAAACAAATACCTGCAGCAGTGGCCAGCAGAGTAAGGTGAGAGAACAGCAGCGCCGTGGCCACACACGCGTAGAACGGCGCTCGCGCTCGAGCACACGACCATCTCATGAAGTCCCAGCATCGCAGCGATAGCGTGTACTCTCCTCTTATGGCCAGCAGGTTCACAAGTACTCTATAGACTAGCAACAACTAAGAAGATAAAACAAATACCTGCAGCAGTGGCCAGCAGAGTAAGGTGAGAGAACAGCAGCGCCGTGGCCACACACGCGTAGAACGGCGCTCGCGCTCGAGCACACGACCATCTCATAAAGTCCCAGCATCGCAGCGATAGGGTATACTCTCCTCTTATGGCCAGCAGGTCCACAAGTACTCTATAGACAAGCAACAACTAAGAAGATAAAACAAATACCTGCAGCAGTAGCCAGCAGAGTAAGGTGAGAGAACAGCAGCGCCGTGGCCACACACGCGTAGAACGGCGCTCGCGCTCGAGCACACGACCATCTCATAAAGTCCCAGCATCGCAGCGATAGCGTGTACTCTCCTCTCCGGGCTAGCAGGTCCACAAACATCGCTACGGCCCACATCGTCTCCAGAATAAGGACCACGGCTGCACCCACGCTGTGTACAAGAATACTGTTTGGTACCAGATAGTACAGGACTAATAAGGCTGGCCGCAAGACCCCAGTATTTAAATAGTAAATAAGGCATTAAATAATATTGTGATATTGTGTATTGTTTTGTATATAATATAAATAATACAAATTAAGTTTTGGTGGGTTTGTCCAAAATATAAAAAACAACGTACTCACAGCAAGGCCGGCGCCACCTCGTATCCTAGCACAGCGAGCTCCGCGCCTGCGCCGCTCATCACTGAAAATAGGAAATACTACATTACCTAAACAAAACATATTATTAAAAAACTAAATTAAGAAATTAAAGTATAGATGACCCACGCTGAACTGTCCCGCCAAACTCAATGACAGGGGGGCGCTACCATCGTTCAACTATATGGTTTCCAACATGGCAAAAATCTGAAACAGCGATCCGGTATTGACGGTGGCGCCCCACTGTCAATGTCATCGACAGGACAGTCCAGTATTTTGGAACTATACATGGAAGCAATCCCGTCAATAATTATGATTATTCGCTGGGTGCGAAGTACTAGGTGGGGGGGACATAATCTATCGCAGCGCTCATGGTGGTCAAAAGTAGAAATAATGTTAGCTCTGTCATCAGATATGTATCTGTCAATGGCAAAGCGATTCTACATAATACATTTTAATATCATTAATTAATCGCATGAAAAGGGTCCTACTGGGAACTTAAATAAAAGAGTGGACTGTATTTCGATAGGGCTGTTTTAATAGCCGTTTACAATTTGGAAATAACTAAACTATACAACGTGGTAGTACAAAAATGAGTCACAGTAGTTGTTGTGCACAGATGTTTGCCTTATGATGAGAGCGTGAATTATTGAACTCTGCCCTTGTTTTGTTCTTAATTCTTCTACATCTCGGACTTGTCCAGCCAATACCAACAACTTTCCTTTAAATACGGTTTGTGGTTGGAATTTGATATTGTAACTCTCACAAACCCGGTCTTCAAAACGATACTCATTTCGATCTGAAAACGATATTTAATTTATTACTAGCGATACAGAAACATTTAAATATATTTACTGTTATATAATGAAACCGTTAAAGTAGCTTTTTCTTTTTGTTTTACTGTAAAACTACAACTATAAATGAAGTAAACAAACCCTGACACAATCAAAATTAAACACACTTTTTGGACTTACCTCATTTGATTTGAATGACCAAAATGATTTCAAAACCTTTTTTCCACCCAAATCGTGGTATCACAACAATTTATTAGTTGAAAATATTTGTTATTTTTTCATTTCGATATTTTTTCACAAATATACGACCTAAATGTCAATGTGACAGAGCCCACAAAGTTGTGGACGCTAGTTGGCGCTGTAATCGTGCACGGAGCCAATAGTACGAGTCAAAAAAGCGTTGCTAGCACAACCCGACCCGTCAACCTGAGGAGTGTAAGTAGGTAGGCCTAATCAGAATAAATGGCCTACTCCTCCAATCCTATGGTAAATTGGCGAGGAAAAATATTTATGTAGTTTGAAAAATAACATAAAATACGAGTACTTATTTCTCTAGAAGATTTTATAAAGTCCAGCAATTTTCAGCTGAATATAATTTTTAAAAAGTATTTGCTTGAAACGAACGAACGAACGATCCTAAATATTACGCAAAAATTAAAAGTGACTGCAAGAGTTACGTAAACTCCCAACCGAGACCTGAATTTTTCAAGTGACATTAGTTTATCGGTCAAAAGCTCCGGAAACTGCTCCGTGGGTCTAGACAAAATGACGTCATTAATCGCTTTGATTAGCGAATATTTCACCCTGATAGTTATGGCCCTCTAACCTCTTGACTCTAGATTCTAGATTATTTAACATTACCAAGTGCCTAACCGATAAATTTCGTGAACAAATTACATATCGTAGTACAAAGTAGGTATAACTTTGAGATCACGCAAGTAATTGAATAATTATTTTCAGCTGTAGCTCTATACTGCATCAGTCAAGTTCATTTCTAATGTTGTTATCCATTTCTATAGCACCTTTATTTAAATAAATAAACAACATAAGATTCAACAATCATTAAAGTCCCATGCTAGTAGAGCAATACTATCTATGGCTCTAGCACAGTTCTGTTAGCATTTTCTATAACTTTTATTACGCAACTTTATGTCGTTATACTTGTTTTAGACGCTTCGATCTTGTCAATAACACATGCTGTTCAACTTTAGAAAGTTTAGAAGAGTTAAAAACAAAAAAATAGGTATGATTTTTCTTTAAAAGCGTCGACAGCTGCACAAACGAGTCGTATTAATACACTTTACTGAATAAGAATAAATACACATTGCATTTCGTATGTATTTAGTATTATTATGCTAACTTTGTACAGTCGCTCGCTACAGTGCTTACTTTATGTGCCGTCCTCTTTAAAACATTAACCCCCTTACTAATAAAAAGTTACACAGTTGTTTTTTTTTTCTTCTTCTTTCTGGCTCTCGCGGATTGCGTTTAGCCACGACAGGGTTCTTGATCTTGAGTTTTGCGTTTGCGTATGTTTTGCGTTTGGTTTTGTACACAGTTGTTGAACACTGTTTTAAAATGACATTTCCATACTAAACGTCACTTTGAAACACTGTTCAACGAGCGTGTAGGTTTTATTAGTAAGAGGATTAGATATTGGTTGGCAAATAAATAACGCAGTCGAGAGTTTGCAAAACAATATAACTAAATAACTGTTACAACAACGCGTGATGATTGATCTCTAGCTCAAACTAGTTTAAATATTACGACAAAGTGGACTTTTTTTATTGATACACAAGCAATTGCGTATACCCTAGTGATGCTTTAATTATTAGTAGGTACTTATTAAGCAGGAAGGTATTGTGCACTCATTTAGTCCTTGATGCCTCATAAAAATGATTTATACTGATAGACTAGCTATTGACCTTCATAGATTGGATGTCTGCAACGCAATCTGTCAGACAATGTAGTTCTCTACAATATTTTCACTGAAGAATTCCATACAAGTAAATCATTGTTATCTCAGACAAAAATATCAAGTGACTTTTCAAGGTTGATAAATATTTGTCTTTTATGATAAAGATCTAGCTACGTTTTACAATTTTTCAAATTTAATTTGGCCGAACACACTGTAGAGCTGCAGCCAGAACAGAAGTTTTCTATGGTAATTTCTGAATGTATGGTGTTAGACAATCGTAACTTGCAATTTGTATAACGTAAATTATCCAAAGGTTTTAAAAAAAATGCCAAAACCTTGGATACCTATGTAGTAAGTACTTAGCGTTACAGCGTGTAACCGCGACTTCGCACAAATTACATTTAATTTAAGTAATAATTTGAAATGGAATTAGATGTAGGTATACCTACTTAGACAAACCAAGAGTACTATAGGTAGATAATGAAGGAATACTAACTACACAATGTAGGCGGCCCGATCCGAAGTAAGTAGAGGGTAGTAATGAAGCCTTTTAAGTAACGGAGCAGTGGTAGAGTTAATATAACGACTTTTAAAAGCCTAATTGCAAAACATAAATTATTTTATAGCCATAAAGTAATTGCTCTGGTTTTTCAAGGTAGGTATAGGAAGTAGGCTTCCTAAACAAAAAATACAGATAGGTAGGTACCGCGATTATACTTGATTGGGCCTAACTCCTTGGCTTACTCCTAGGTACCTACTTACAATAGTATTTCACATAATTATCATTAATTCACTTACAAAGAGCGTTTAAGTAATGTTATGTGTGTGTACGTTAGTTAAATAAAACTATGTAGAGTTTGTTAAAGAAAAGGTGATTCGTTTGACTTCCTCATGCCCTCACCGGTGTTTAATGGAAAACGCGCAATTTTCACTTTATACCTAGGTAACTTACCTACAGCTGTTATGAGTCCCCATAATCTAGCAAGTGGCTGCAGCCAGTCCCACAGAAATGATGCCACTGATTTTGGAGGATGCTCATAGGTCCTCCTCGTACGGCAATGAGGATTGATCGAGTCCCGATCCTGAAGGCTGGACGCGCACTCTGAATCGATACTCATTCCGAAGTCATTACCATACAAAAGATAAGCGTACTCAGGTGATCACTTAAATAACTGTTTATTTTTTACATGCTCATCTCAAGGCTTTCACAGTTCATTATTCCACACTAATCACCGGTCAAATTCCGCCATCGTTTTGGTTTGTCACGAAATCTTATGTTTACACAACGTATCATTGCATTTATAGTTGCACTGGCGATGTGCCCGGATACGAAAATATCACGCACCTTGAAAACCGTTCGTAACAAAAATTAGGAAATACAGAGATTTGTTTGTGTATTTATTTAGGTCTCGAGTTTATACACAGAACTGCAAATCCATGTTTGATAGTTGAGTGAGTGTTAGATGTTGGGAAAAAAGTTGTAAAAGTGGAAATGTTTTCCCCGCTTTTCTTCGCGTATCGCGCTTTGCATGTTGAGGGCGCGCGGGCGCTCTCGGCCGTGGACTAGAAATAACTGAGACACCGAAGAGACGAAGCCGACGTCGCATCCTCCAGATATGGAAACTGTACGGATGGTATATCAATCTAAAAACTGAGGCATCTTATTTAGTTGTAATAACTCCGATTTTGCAACGAAAATTTTCTGCCGTCTGTACAATAGTCCGTTTCTGTTTATTCATGCGTGCGTAAAGAACAAGCGCGTCTTTCCGCTCTTGAAGAGATTGCTTGCGAGCACACAATCTACGTATACCTATCTTGATTGAACCTACACTTAAAATAATAATTGAATTATTGATAATACTTTTACGGAATACTTATGCTATTACATATTTATTTCCGCCTGTATTTAGTACCTACTTATTTGCTATTGTTTTTTAAATTTCGAACGAAGTAAGTAGGTACGAGTAAGTACTCGTACCTACTTACTTCGTTTCAGTCAAATGACGTCCACAGCTGAACAAAGGCCCCCCCTGCAAGGATTTTAACAGTCTTACAGTCATTGTTATAAACAGAAATACTTAACATTAACTAATTTGGTACTTGTCCTTCCTTTGAGCTATTACGGATTACCTACTTACCTACGTAATTAATTAATTGGTAGGTACTAACTTACCCACTCGTTAGGTCTACATTAAGTTGGTATCTTCCAAAACATGTTATTTTAATAAACTAATGACACGCACCTAGGTGTCCATCAGCTTATGAGTTTAAGAGTTAATTATTATGGCTAATAAATTCTATTCTAGGCTATTTTACTTAATTTAAAGATGTAACGTAACTAGAAACAAAGTCATGTAAATAAATGAGACAAAAATAATTTTGTTTTCAGTTTACGATTATTTTGCAGAAAAATGCCTTTGAGAAAGTCATTGGCCGCCGCTGACCCATCTATAAATAACTAAATTATGTTTTACAACTTTTAAACGAAATTAGACGACATTTCTTATTACATCAACACACAATGTCACAGCCCACGCAAAAGGACAATTTATTCGCCGTCTGGGCACCAGAATGGACGACATAGTTTATATATAACATAATTGTATGATATTCAATAGAATATTTGATTTAATATTAATGTAACACTCATACTTACTTAAGTATTTATAAAAATAAATAATGTAGCTCTCCCATCAAACCTTTGCAATGCCTTAACTAGGTAACTAAGTAATAAGCACACATGTATTAGTGATAAGACCTCTAATGTACACTTAGTAGGCAAATAAACAATTTGAATTTGAATTTGAATACCTACTTGGGTACGTAAATCTTAGTCGCTGGACCAACGATGGTCGCGGGTAGCGTTATAGATGCGTGCAGCGCGGCAGCAAAGGACCAGTCTGGAAATTCTTGTAGGTGACCTTCAACCAGTAGGGTCCGTTATTTTTTTAAATAATAAATCTAGACAAATTACTACTATCTAAGTAGGTACCAACCCTTTAAAACTATTTGCTAGGCCGATGCCTTCGCCTTTAAAACGTAATACCTAAACATACATAGGTTTAGGTATTACGTTTTAAAGGCGAGTAAGAAAGAATACAATGACATGTCTGCGGCACATACATAAATTATTATGATGTAGCTTGAAAAATCATCCCCGTAAAATAGAACCCACGACCTTTTGCTTGCCGGATGACTTCACTCAGTCACTGAGCTACGGAGACAATAATTAAAGTATAATGCGATGTGAGCCGTCAACCAATATTAAGACCAATATCCAACGAAGAATAATCTAAGCAAGGAAGCAAGAATGTCAGCTCACACGAGCCCAACGATTTTATCAATCGTAACTACAATCGATTATTAAATTGAATTATTGCAAACGAATAATACAAAAGTTAGCACAACCCTATTTTTTTTTCCTTTATGTTGTCAATACTGTATGTCATTGCCCTTTCCGTTTATAATGTTACCCATTACAAAAATATTGCATGTAAATGAGATTTAAATCACATTTTAGTAAGACATAAGCCTAACTGGTCCTACGTCGAAATTACGGCGAAGATATAGAGGCATAAAGTATGTAATTAAATTAACAACTTACGAGTATTTCAACGAGTCGATCTAACCAATTAATATACTCAATTAATGACTTTTTTCTTACTATTTTATTAAAATTATAAAATCTTAGACCACGGGAAAAAACATATTAAGCTAAATATTAAAAGAAACATAATAATTCATAAACACTATTAAGCAAAATATGTTTCTTTTAGGGTAAAATGGTTTTCACGCTGGTATCCCCAAAAGCAGGCGTGCGTGAGGGGCCCTCACTGAGGGCGTAAAAAAAGCGGAAACGCGCGCCATATTGTTGTGACCGCGCCGCGACTGTGAACGCGTCTCTCAGTGTTATTTGTTACGTGATTACTGTCGCTCGTATTGTTTTGTGAATGGAATATAAGTGTTTATAAACTGTTACCAAAGTGACCTACGATGCAATCAGGGAGTGGTACGAAAAATCCACCATGGGCTCGATCCAACGTGAATACAAACATGACCGGCATGAATCCTCAAATAATGGATCCTAACACCATGATGACTCAACAAGGGATGATGCCATTTCAACAAACACAGGCGGTGTTTAATCCTGGAATGATGCAAGCCCAAGGAGGAATGGCTATGCCCATGGCCGGTCAGATGCCGATGAATCAGATGGCCCAAGGTCAAATGTATCCCGGTAATGTCGTCGCGTATCCTACTCCACGTGCGATGAACCCTGGCATGTATCAAAACTCGCAGTCTAACTCGTCTCAACCAAACAGTGAACAGCGTGTGTTCACAGGAACTGTGACAAAGACACACAATGACTTCGGCTTCGTCGACCATGATGTGTTTTATCAGACGTCGGTCTGCGCTAAAGGTATCATTCCAAAAGTAAACGACAGAGTGTTGGTAGAAGCTACCTACAACCCTAACATGCCTTTCAAATGGAATGCTACCCGTGTACAAGTTTTGCCCAAAGGAGGGCCCAATCCAAAGGGTAACAATCCAAAATCTAATTCATATAATGCAGTGCCGCCACCTTCAAACAAAAAGCAGCCGCCACCACGCCGAAATAATGATGATCGGCCACCTAGAAGAGAAGAAAGAGTAAGTTCTAAATTTTTGAGGTTATATTTTTATAGTATTCCAGTATATTCAATAAAGTGAATCAAAAATATGCAAAGTTTTGTTTATATATCGTAGCACTCAAACTTAAATCCTATATTTGTTAACACAGAAGCGATCTCGCTCAAGAAGTCGTTCCCGATCAAGGATAAGCGGCCGTAACCGCAGAGATTCTCCTCCTCGCAAGAGGCCTGTAGTTCACCAACCATCGCCCGTCAAATACATCGTCAGAGTTCCTCGCATACCTCTGGATATGTAAGTATTGCATTGTAGGAATTTGATTCATCAATAATCAAAATTATAAAAATCATAGATTTATCATGCCCTATTTTAATTTGTTACAATTTTAGTTAAAAAAATACCACTGCAAATTGATGTTTTGCTGTGGTCTTTTTTAAATAATTTTATTGCAAGTGGTATTTTTAAAATATTCAATTGCCAGTGGTATTTTTTAATGATTCAATTAGTATTGATTGCACTAATCTAATGACTATAATTTTTTGCAGCCAAAAGATGGATGTACCTGGACTTTCTCAAAGATACACCAATTTGTACATCCCTTCTGACTTCTTCAATGCTCACGTCAAGTGGGGAGAAACGTTCCCTCCCCAAACACCATTTTCATTGAACAACCCTTGTGGATACCACATCATGAGCAGAGAAATTGATAACCCCAACCCGAATGACTCCGTGTTGGAGCCTCCAGATGCAGATTACAGGTTTTCAGCAAAGGTAAGGTTTTTGCTTTTTGAACTGCGTCTTTGGTCTATACTTTACTATATTGAGATTATTGATTGTAGTAAGAAAAATATACACAATAATACCATGAAATTACATCATGTTTTGTAATTACATGAACATGGTATTTTTATTTAGTATATTGGATCTTGATAATTTGATGTGCAAGGTTTTGCAATGAATATTGTATTGACTGATTAGTGCAACATAATTAGCACAATTTACTCAATTGATAATATTTTATCCTTAAAAGTGTCCTTTGTTTGCATAAATATTCATACTGATGTGTGTAGACCTTTTATATTTGATCAACTTGAATTTATGTGGCATTCACATGATTCACACAATAGCTACTTTGTTTCACAACTATGTACTTAACACCATTATTTTATTTCAGGTTATGTTGATTAGTATGCCTACGTTAGAATCCCTCTATCAAAAGTGCGGATTAACCAAAACTGATGACAAAGATAAGCGTCTTAGTAAATCACCATTACACCCAACAAGACTGATCAAATTTTTAGTTGGGCAAAAAGGAAAAGGTGGAGAAAACTTCGCAATCGGAGGGCCATGGAGTCCTTCCTTAGATGGTGAAAACCCACAAACTGACCCAAAGGTTTTGGTGAAAACAGCTATACGTACATGTAAAGCCCTAACGGGTATCGATTTATCCTCCTGTACCCAATGGTAAGTATCTTTGACATCAATATTCCCCTTATTGGTGATGTGTCCTGATTTCTGGTTTGTGTTCTTTTATCTAACAGTGGCCAAAAGTTTCATTAACACGTCCATCTTGCAAATTCGATAACCATCATAAAGTCAATCTAGCTGTTTGTTCCTGAAAAAGCTTTGGGCTACTGTTCGTGGAAGTAGTCATGGTACAGCACACATTCATTATGTGAGAGTACGGAGGCGTTAGTACGTCGTCAGTGGCGCAACTAATTGGATGCTGAGTTGATGTAGTGACTACCACGCTGTTGTATAACTCTCGTACCGGATGTGTCGTGTCCATGCGTGCGGCGGCGGCGCGCTAGTGAGTATGTACTATAACTGTATTACCCGCGCAGGTACCGAATGGTGGAGTTTTACTACTGGCGCGAGGGCAGCGGCGGCAAGTCGCGGCTCGAGTGTGTGGTGTTGTTCCTGCCAGACGTGTGGTCTGCGCAACCGTCGCGTATCGAGTGGAGCAACGTTCAGGAGCAGTATAAAGCTGCCTGCGACCACGCCTTAAGGAAACTCGACGGCGAGCCGGACTCCGGAGCGCAGCCCGACGCGCCCGCGGCGGCCACGGCGACGGCGGCGGACCCGGCGCCGGCGGAGAAATCACAAATTGTTTGTTCCTAGTTTTGTTCAGTTAAGATTCCGGCTGCGTGCGCAACTAAATTGAAGATCTTCTTTGCAGTGCTGCCGACTCCAATCTACCAATGGATGCCATAAAAACATCCACATTTTTTTCTTTATTTATCTCATTACGAAACCATGTGCCCCAGTTTTGATTGAATTTCGGCAATAATTTACGCTAGTAGATTATGAAAGAATTATATCCACATTAAATGCCTTTTTGCAACTTCTGGAAAGATTATAAGATGACTGATGGTTGTTTCTAATGTTTTCAGGAGACCTCTGATCTCAACGATAGCACGATAACGATTGATGAGAATGATGATGAGGAAGGAAAACCTGAGCCGACGCATTATTCAAAGATTGATATCAGAACGATCAAAGTAGACCAATTGAGACAAGAATTGCGGGCGCGAAATACTAGCTGCAAAGGTATGATTTATACTTTTCAATAAATTAAATGAAATAATTGTTGTTACAGCCATAGCATAGGTATCTAACGATTTATTTTTATTTTTTAGGTTTGCGTGCACAGTTGGTGTCTCGATTGTCGAAACTTTTGAAAGCTGAGGAAGACAAAGAGTCCAAAGGTGAAGAGGAATCAATGGAACTGGATGAAGACAATGAACAAGGCAAGGAAAAGAAATCTGATGATGTAGAGGGAAAAGACGAGAAAGAGCCTGAAGTAACAGAACAGAAGAATGAAGGTGACAAAGATGAACAGAAAAAGGATGAGGAAAAGCCAGAAGAAAAGCCAGAGGAGCCTAAAAAAGAGAAAACCGAAAAGGAATTGGAAGAAGAAAAGAGAAAGGCAAGTATTTATTATGGAATTTGATTGTCACAAGCAAACTATATTTGCAAACTATATAAACAAGCAAAGTATATAAGTAGTATATCCGTTAAGCTAGCACCCATAACACAAGCATTAAGTTGCTTACTTTGGGGCTAGCTGGCGCTGTGTGAAATTGTCCAAAGATTATTTATATTTCAGAGGTTGTATGTGTCTTGAAGATAGTCATCTTCAAAAATTGTAATGTAAAAAAATCTTATTTGTTTTAGTTGGAGAAAGAAAAGCAACAGATGAAGACCCGCTATGAACTCCCCACGAGTCCCCACATCATTGTGCATCCCTCAAACTCGGCGAAGGGCGGCAAATTCAACTGCAGTGTTGCCACTCTCTCCCTTTTGTTGGACTACAGGGTCACAGACAACAAAGAACACAGCTTTGAGGTTAGTATTTGCAAATGAGGTTTATAAATATTTTGTTACTTATGATAAAATCATCTAGGTCGATAGATTACTTGTTAAAATAAAGTTTTTAATGATAATAGGTAGCAGTTAGTCTAGAATTGAGCTATGTTATGCGCCAAGGGTGATATGACATCATGTCTGAAACTAGAGTTTTGAGTGATTTGACCATTGTGTTTATGGCAAGAATAAAATAAGAAAGAGGATCATTTTCACCATGAACTTGATAATCAGCAGTAGAATAAATAATCAAATTATCTAAATCTATAATAATATTTTATTTCAGCTGTTTGTGTTCGCCGAGTTATTCAACGAGATGCTGATGCGCGATTTCGGCTTCTACATTTACAAAACACTATACACTCTCCCTGAAAAACCGGAGGAGGTGAAAGAAGTGGTTGAGAAAACCGCCGAAAAGGGCGACAAGAAAGATACAGATAAGAAAGATGATAAGAAAGACGATAAGGAAAAAGACAAGGCTGACAAACGGGATGAGAGGCGCGATTCCCGCCGACGTGGTGACAGGAGGGTAAGTGTAACTTGCTTATTTTGCTAAAAGATACTATATTGTTGTTGGTTTAGGTAAGGCATTTCTCGAGTGGCGACCACGGGCTGGAAGACGTAGCGTGGGCAGGCCTCCTACTAGGTGGACCGACGATCTGGTAAAGGTCGCGGGAAGAGCCTGGATGCGGGCAGCGCAGGACCGTTCATTGTGGAAAACCTTGGGGGAGGCCTTTGTCCTGCAGTGGACGTTATTTGGCTGAAAAAGAAAGAAGAAAGAAGATTTATCTGACAATGGCCACGCGTTCGTTTTATTTCAAGATGTATCAGATAAAACTTAACTTCTGATTTTCATAAAAAGCGAATAATTTTAGATGACAAAAGTAATTTGTATTAAGAGGTACTGTAACCCGGTTACAAGCACACTCTAGACATCTCTGTATACATTTTAAAATGTCTGCTTCTTTTCTCAGAAATTGAACACTTAAGTTGAGCAAATAATGAACAACAAAAACAAAGATATTTACCCAGTATTTTATCAGTTCTCAATAATAATAACAACTTTATTGACGACTGAGCTGAGCCGAAATTATTATTAAAAAATGATAAGTCTCATATCAATATTCTAATTAACGTGCCTGTCTTCTACCCAGTCGGGCTAGGATGCGCGCCGTGATATATTTTATCGACGTCAAAATGTAAGGGCAAAATTGATATAATAGCGTGATAACCGCTTATCGCGGCGCGCATCCTAGACTTACAGGAGTTCCACAGCGTTGATAAGGCAGCAAGTCTCATATCAATATTCTAATTAACGTGCCTATCTTCTACCCAGGAGTCCCACAGCGATGATGAGCGCAGCAATTCCCCGCGCCGACGCAGCAGAGGCGTGGAACTACCGGCCGACCCTTACCTACTGCTGTCTCTGGTCTACTTCGACACGTCACGAGGCGGCAACGTCTCAAAGAAAGACCTGCAGAACCTCTTCATGGGCCTCGGACTCTCGCTGTCGAGGTCTCAGATCAGGGCTGTGCTTGAGAAAGTGTGCATCAAGGATAACTTCAGCTACAAGTGAGTATTATTTTCATCATTGTTTTATTTGGACTAATTCTAGGAATACAATTCCACTGTATGTACATTGTACACAAGCTATTTCTGTAATAAACAGAAATATTATGTCCAATTGTGTAAACAGTCTATTGTAATCGATTATTGTTTCTATAAAGGAAAAATCAACAAACCTTAACATGTCAATGTATTTACAGTTATTAATAAATAATTACACACGTTTGTAGCATAAACGTAGGTCTAACCAAAACATAATGAAATAGCAAATAAAAATGAATTTCCTATGACAAAGTGAGGCTTAATTTTTATAGGTATTTTATAACGATTAATGCTCATTGTGTAATAAATATATTTTATTTGCACAGGACTCTGATTCAAGCCATCAAAGACCTAGCTTCAGGCACGCCAGAGGCGATTCAAGACTTGCCGTTGGACACCACGGTTGCGACTACCGAAGTACCGCCTCATGTAAGTTATTTTTCAAAGAGAGATGCGCAGAACGTTTTGACGTTACCATTAGCCAAAAAGATATTGCTATGGCCACACAACCATAAGCGTGAGAAGTAAATGGTCAGTATGTTTTATAAACTGTTTTTCTTTCATAGATTGCTGAATTAGAAGCAACAATTGCAACAGGAAACCGCAACTTATTGCCTGTATTCAACCGGCCGAGCGACGAAGAAGGACGCTCCGGTGAAACTCAAGATGTTAGCGACACAGGTATGTCTGAAATTGATTTAATTTTATTTGATTCAATTGAAGCTGTAGTTCTCATTTTTGCTATTTCTAGTTAAACTTTTCGAATAGCGCGAATGTACTTGTTTATCACGTGCAGCGTCACTGCCGGACGTACCTAATAAAAGTTTCGTGATTGTATCGATATAAGCCAAGCCATGTCCAGCAGCTGATAGTATACATGGAGCCTTAATTTACCGCCTTATTGAGCCAAGTCAGAATATCATATTGAGTATTTTGACCTCGTTTGATACAACAAACACAATAAGAGATATGTTTCATTGCAAATTGCACTCTAAAATTATCACTTCACGGGATTTTACAACAAAACTTTTATAACGGTAAATAAGATATTTACCCTCCCGACGTTTCAATGAGGGCTATCGTTTTAGCGCTCACCAGTTAGCGCCACTGTAGAGTAAGGTCCTGTCACTTGCTAGTAGCGAAGACAGTGGCACCAACTGGTGAGCGCTAAAGTGGTAGGAGGACTATCGCATTTGCACTCATCAAGATGGCGCCACTGTAGAGTAATGTCCTGTCAATCGCCAGAGGTGCCAACTGTTAAGTATAAAAACGATAGCCCTCATTCGGTTGCAACATAATAGTTTAAAATACTAAATTGCACTCTATTCCTTGAACAGGAGTGGTGATGTACAAGTCTCGCATCGTGGACGTGGGGGCATTAGTAGCGGCCGAGGCCCGCGGGTCGGCCACGCGCGCTCGCCTCGAGTCAGCTTTAGAAAGCGCCCGCGCCGCACTTAGGGCCGCACGCGCCGCCGCCGCCTCTACGCAGCAGGCGGAACGGGGAGCTAAGACGCAGCTGTCTGACCTGTCACATAACCTGGCGGCTGCGCGCGCAAGGATCGCGTCGCTCACGGTAACTATTGCAGTCATTTATACACTTATTTTTCAGTGCTGTGCGCATCAATGTTACCTTGCGCATAGTACCTATAACTCACGCGCGCTCACCTTGAGTCAGCGCTAGAGAGCGCTCGCGCCGCGCTTAGGGCCGCCCGCGCCGCCGCCGCCTCTACACAGCAGGCGGAACGGGGAGCTAAGACGCAGCTGTCTGACCTGTCACATAACCTGGCGGCTGCGCGCGCAAGGATTGCGTCGCTCACGATAAATAGTCGTTTATACCTAAAGCCCGGTCTCCGAGCACGTAGAATTTTGTCCAATGACCCCAAGCTACCTATCCTTATCGCTCGCGCGTAATTACGTTGCTGTTACGCTCGCACACTCACTGCGGGCGCCCGTTGCACAATCGCGACAGTAATATAATTACGCGCGCGCGATAAGGATGGGTAGCTTGGGCTCATTGGACAAAATTCTACGTGCTCGGCGACCAGACTATACAATCAGTGTGCGCATCAGTGTCAGCTTGTCAGCTCTAGAGAGCAGCCGCCTCCTCCACGCAGTAGGCGGAACGTGGAGCCAAGACAACTGTCAAGATCTATCGCACAACAACACGCCTCGCTCACGGTAACTATCAACCATTATAGGCTCTTCGTCTAAGCCAGCTGGACGATTCAGCATCCAAGCAGGGCGAATCTGTGTGGAACTGAACACTGAGCACAACAAAGCTGAACACCTGGAACGGAATAGATACCAGTGAAATAACAATCGTAGGCTGCATTGATTCCCTCTAGTAATCCCCAGATTAAACTAAATAATCTTCCATTCTAAAACTTCATTTTGAACTTCAACTAGAAAAGCAAGGTGTCAATTTCGTCTTGCTGAACACAGTGGTACCATGATACTTACACTTCTGTTTGTTTACAGGCGAGCTCCAAAATATTCCACTCCGCATTGAAGAGTATCCAGTCCAAAGTCGAAGCTGTGGTCAACATCAAATACGAAGACGATGACGTCGTGGAAATCGTTAACGGCCCCACAAAGTAATTTCGAACATTCATATCTTATTCACATACTTTTCATGTGTATATTTACAGTATATTAATCGAAATGTATGTTTTAGATCGGATGCAGAAACAAAGAAGGAGAAAGTTGATGATAAATCCGACGCTTCAAAAAAAGAGGAAGACAAAAGTGATTGTGAAGAGGTCACAGTGACAGAGGAAGAAAAAGATAAAGAAGGTGACGACACCACTGCAACAGGCATGGACCTTGATGACAAAGAATAAACTCTTGCATCAAGATAAACAACAATTAGTTATTCTTATACTTATAGCATTCAGAAGAAGCAGGAGCTTCTGATAAGGACACTAAATTAAAGCTGTAAATACAAACTTGACTCAGAATACAATTTAATATTTGAGATGATGAGTGCAGTGAATCTTGTTCATTAAGTATAAGGTACTTAGATTATTTGCATTTTTCATTGAATCATTACAATCATTGTTTGATAAAGTATGGAGAACCAAGTGACATGTTTTTGATGGAGTCTTCAATTAACTTAGAAGTTATTTATCCGAGAGGATAACGCAATAATGATCGATTTATTTTGGGGTTACAGGTGATCCATTGACACAAATTTATTGTGTCACCATTATTTTAATTATTGTAAGAGTCTGTAGCTTGTAAGTCTTATGTTTTCTAAGCGACAAATGTAACGTAGGTTAATTTGTTGATTAGGGAATTGTGCTTTGAATTCAATAATAGACATAAAATATAATAACTACCTGTTTTATTTCTTTCTCCCTTACAATCCAAGTCTTAATTACACTAAACTACATTTATCTAAACAAGATTACTCTAACATGTTTACACTTAAAAATTTAGATAGATCATACATACTAGAGTGGATATATTTATAGATAAATAATGAATGCAGTATACAATAAATGCATGTGCACATAAGTCTTATTACAGTAATAATAAATCAATACGTGAATATCTATTATAATCTTATTCTACTTAAAATAACGTGTGTAAATATCATTTAAAATGGAAAAGTTACAGTAATAATTTAGTCTAAAAGAAGGCACTCACTGGGGGAAATTCTAAAAGCGAATGTTGGCGGTGAGTGCCTTATTTTTATTGCCTCAAGGGTCATAATCATGATAATTATAGATAGTTTCATCCACGAAGATGAACCCCACCTTTCTTCCGCTAATGTTTGAGTGTTATCGGTATACGCTAAATTATCCATGAGTTCACACACACTAGAATAATGACGCTTGGATCAAACTCCCCGCACCCCGCGCTTCCCTCGACCAAAAAGTGGTGGGGCACGTCTTCATGGATGAAACAATCTATACTTGTGCGTGTCATTCTAAACACACGGCTCGACATAGTTCCCTGGGAAGAGGCCAGTGACCCCGTCCATGACGCCTTCCCACCAGCCATCGTCGTTCTTCTTCAGCACGTATATGACTGCACTCTCCTGGAATGACAGCTCGTCTTCCTTGTCAGCGTAGTAGTCGTAGATCGCAACCACTGGAAACAGACAACGTTTTAATGACTTGCACAGTTTTAAAGACAATTTTTGAAGCTAATAACTGACCTTTCTCAATGTAATTCTTTGGCACCCAACCAGGCAAATCCTCTTCATCAGGAACGATGGCTGGTACAGCACTTGTGTATTGAGAGTTCATCTTACTCTGCAAAATAAACAAAATTTCCATAAGCACAATATAAATGTAAGATTTTAAACTTTCGCGTTCCATTTCATCTAAAATAATCAAGCCGTGAGTACATAATGTAACTCATTTATAAATGTCGCGTTAAGACCCGTGTCTTTCTATTTTAGTCACAAATTTGTCCAAGTACCTAAATGCTGGTGATTTTTAGTCAATTTGTGGTTATAAACTAGCTCAGAAAGTTAATAAAAATCCATACGCTAAGATGGTGCGGTCGTCCAAAGGCATCGTGGGCCAGTTCATCGTCCATCGGCGGTGGCGGCAACGGCGGGGACACGGAGCCACCGCGAATGGACGCTCCGCCAGTCGATGAGGATGAGGCACGCTAAAACAAACAGTGGGCTGGCTGAGTATGAGTTTACATCAAACGTGCTCACTAGTGAGCGCGTTTAAACAATGTATGAAAATCTTAGATTTTGAACGTTTCCCGCTAGGGGCGCTGTACAATATAATATCATCGTCATACATTTAATGTCATTTTTTGACGCGCTCACTAGTTAGCGCGTTTGATGAAAACTCACACTCAGCCCTCAGCACATTAATCATAGCAATTGCACAATTGCACTGCAAAAATAGTTGCTTATTTCACGTGGAATAATGGCAGTCTTGATTCACTATCTTGATTGTCTCTTACCTGTCCTGGCAAACTCATGGAATGTTGGCTGTGTTCACCATCAGACCCGATCAATGGAGATGGCGGAGCTAAAATGAAACAAAAAACATGGAATAAGTGAATTGTTACAAAATATGGAGCTAAAGCCTGGTCCGTGAGCACGTAGAATTTTGTCCAATGACCCCAAGCTACCCATCCTTATCGCTCGCGCGTAATTATATTGCTGTCGCGACTGTGCGACGGGCGCCCGCAGTGAGTGTGCGAGTGCGACAGCAACATAATTACGCGCGAGCGATAAGGATGGGTAGCTTGGGGTCATTGGACAAAATTCTACGTGCTCACGGACCAGGCTTTAGAAATAATCGTAAGCTTATAACACACTTACGGGGCATACTGGAGTGCAGATCTTGTTGAGAATAGTTTGATGGTACTTGATGCTGATTTGGGTGGACCATACCAACCTAAAACAATAATGTTTTTGTGTATTTTTTCTGCAATCTATATATATAAAAGAAAGTCGTGTTAGTTACTCCACTTATAACTCAAGAACGGCTGAACCGATTTAGCTGAAAATTGTCAGGGAGATAGTTTAGTGCCAGGAGAAGGACATAGGATACTTTTTATCCCGTTCGAAATTAAAAAAAAGTCTGCTTATTTATTGCCATTAAGGCGGAACAAAGTTCGCCGGGTCAGCTAGTTAATTATGAAATTCTTAACTAAAATTCACAAACCAGAAAGGTATAAGTAATTATTTAGATTTGATGTGGTAATATCAAGCAATTATGTCACGCTTCATTACTTTAAACTAAATACCACTGACAATATTTATACACTGAGTAATAATAATTGAAAAATAATTGCGCACTAAAAAATAAAGTAATAGTTTTATGAATAATGAACAGCTAGATTAATTACCATTACGTATTACTTAAGTTTCATATTTGCTGCTTGATCAATTAGGCTTTGAGACTGTCTTTCTAAATTATTATACCTGGGCTTATTCCATTATTCCCCGTTGACAATACCCGTCAACGGGGATTAGTGAACTTTTTGTTCACTATTCCCCGTTAACGCCAATGTGAACTTATAAAATCAAAATAAAATCCTAATATAACGGGCATTAATGAACTTTTTGTTCATTTTAATCCCCTTAATAGTGGAATAAGCCTATACCTGAGGCTGGGCCACCGGCAGTGTGGAGTATCCAGGAGGTCTGCGTGGATAGTTTGGCGCGTAGTGCGACGGCACTTGAGGCGGCGCCACGGCTGGCGGCGTGCGGTACTCGCGTGATGACTTGCCTGCAAAAGATATAGATATTATAGTTTTTTTTTTCTATATTTTCAGCACAATAGTAGCCATTGTGTTGCAGCATTTGGGTAAAGTTAACTTGGGGTTCATACCAATTTACTTTTATACACTAATATTATAAAGAGGAAAACTGTTTGTTTGTTTGGTTGTAATGAATAGGCTTAAAAACTACTGGACCGTTTTTTAAAATTCTTTCACCATTTGAAAGCTACATTATCCACGAGTAACATAGGCTAAATTTAATTTTGGAAAAAAATAGGGTTCCGTAAAATATGTAGATAATGTAGTCCACACGCGCGAAGCCGCGGGCAGAAAGCTAGTTTAAAAATATTTTCAGAAATATAATTTCGATGTGTCTTAAACTTTTGGAATGCTAAATGGTGACAGCAAAATAAAGCTCTATTCTGAATGAAAATTTTTGCCTTTTATTACTTCAATAGATGAAAGAAAAAGTGATTATTCAATTGTTCAAAAACACAGTTGGCTTCTGTTCTCTCTATGTAATTATTCAATTACAATATTTGAACCTTTTTAGCTACTAATGACCCACAATATCCTATTCTGTGATGGAAAGTAAATGATGATGATTGAAAAAAAGATGCTGACTCCTTAGTCAGTCACCTTTGACTGAGTTTCTTCCACCACTTCTTCTCAGCACCAGCCCATATGTTGTCCCAAAGTGGTGGCAGGGCAAGTTATATTTGGGACATGTATAAGTTCCCTGGAAAGTGCCTATGTACTGAATAAACTATTTCATTTCATGTTTGTCTTACCAAGAGTGCCACGTCCCAAAGTGCCAGTGTTGGCAGCAGCTGCAGCCCTAACAGCGGCAGGCGGAGTGGGAGGCTTGGTAGTGGGAGCTGGGAGTGTAGCAGAGCTTGGGGCCGACCCTGATCGGCGGCCACGGGGGGTGCCTGTCTGGCCTCCGTTCCAACGGGCCCCGTGTCCAATGTCATCTAATGCTGATTGAAACAAAAGTAGAATTTATGAATAAAGTATGATATTAGAAAGTAAAAAAGTATTTATTACTAAGAGATGTCACATGTACAATTTTATTCTGGCGGTCTCTGGATTAAGCAAGAAAGCTTGTATCGCAGCCGCCAATATGATTTTTGATAGAAATAAAAGTTCTAAGACTTTTTTCTTAGATTTGAGCTGCACTAATTTTTTATCAAATCTTATTGATCTACTGTAGATAGAAACCCATCTATTAGTTAACTAGGTTTATTACTACGTTATTGCTTACCTGTGTAATCAATACTTTTCCTAACATACTTGATTGGTTTTTCAGGGTTGGCTGGAGCTATGATTTTGTACTGCCTAGTGATGACCTTGTTGGCTGTTAGCACACCGATCTCCCTCCTCGCCACTTTCTCTTTGTGTATAGCAACTGTCTGTGCGATATGGTTCATCTGACCTTCCATTTCAGCCAACTGCATGGTCTGAAGCTCTAATAATTGAAGAAAGTTGAACGCAAGTGTGTTGATCTGATAGGCCACACTCGCCAAAGATTGTGTCGTGTAGTTCTTCGTACTCTCTAGCGCTAGTCTCTTGTTTTCCGACTGGAAATAGTTGGCTTCACAGTATTCTGCTACCCGTTCAAGGTTCGTGTGACTGTCGGTGAGGTGATTACGACCCTCCGGGATTTCCGTTTGGAGTAAAGCCGCTAACTCGGCCATTGTGCTGTAGTTCTCGTTCTGTTTTAGCTGGTATAATCTTAGATATAAAATATTGTAAAGTAGGTAGTATTATCAGTAAGTAGCGCACAGATTAGAGAGTATGAAGTAGCGTCTGCAATGCGTAATGAAACACTTCCTTCCGCTGGAAACTCGACTCTGCAATAGTTGATTTCTAAGTAAATGTTTTTCTTACACAAATAGAAAATACACGAGACGTTTTTTTACTTAAATTAATTAACTACATTTTTTTGATTTTGTAAACAAAATAAAAATATCCAGAAATTACAAACACAGGCACACACCCAAAATTTGTCGGATGAAAAATCACAGAAAAAATAAACTCAAGTGTCATCAAAGTGACTGACATTTACGTCACTTTTTAGTGTTGTTACTTTTTTTATTTATTCAATTGATATTGAAATGAACAGTACAAATTTAATAAAATTAAAGTTTAATTTTTACAACTGATTTGTATGTGTAGTCTACTCTAAAGTTATGACCACATTTCTGACCAAAAATCTAGAACTAATTAACTAGTACTTGACGAGATATAAAACCGGACTTTTAATAGCTCTTCGATTTCAATCACTTATGCTCACCTCTAGTTATGTCATTTTTATCATCTGTTTTGTCTGTGGTCTCAATTGTACAAATTCGTACTTGTCGTAATTTCATTCATGATGTAAAAATTCCGAGTTTCTTTTTAGTGATTTTGTGAGATCAACTGGAATTTTAAATCATTTGATAGAATCGTTGACAAAACTTTATTAATCTGATTAGATTTATACATAAGACGATGGGAACCAACGGGAACGGGAGGCGCGGGGGCACAAAACTCCCCGATGTCCGTCGCCCTATTGAAGAAGGCGATTGTATCAACGATATGGAGAGCCCAGAGCTGGATTTTATATACGACGATTGCGACACTCAAACAAACGAAATAGCGGAGCTTTACAGCTACACTGAGCACCCGGAGTTCCAACTGAACGTGAAAGCTTTCGAGGATATCATGGAAGAGTTCAATTACCCTCCTAGCTGGCAGAGATTGACAAATAAACAACAACGAACAGTGATAATGAAACTATTAGAGCATTTAGATGTTGCAGTGAGTGATATTCGTATGCGTGCGACGAGGTGTATATTCTACCTGGCGCAGGGTTGCTGGGCTGAGATGCAGTCTGATGCCGAACAGGCCCATTGGGCCAGGGTTAACGTCATGACCCTGTATGATATGGGAACGTTTGCTGCTTTTGTAGAACTTCTAAACCTTGAGATTGTGAGAAGCAGTACTGCCATAGCATCCAGAAAACTAGCAGAGTCCCTAGCAGACTCAACCAATTTGCGTGTCATTTTATCTGTCCTGTATTTAATCACAGAATACATGAGAACTGAAAAAGACAATCCTGAGTCAGAATATGCTCATCTGGTGAAGAATTTCAAGGAAGAACTTGGTACACCTTTTGGTGAGGAACTATTGCCAGTGAAACTCCTCAGTATGGTGACACATCTGTGTGCAGGAACCACTCCACACTTTCCTATGAAAAAGGTTTTACTTCTTTTGTGGAAAGTGTTACTTGTATATTTGGGTGGTTCAAAAGAATTGAAAGAGAGAAAAGCTAGATTGCGAGAAAAACATGGACTTCCACCTCTTCGTGAAGATACTCTGGAAATCATTAAAGGTATGCGTGCCAGCTCCCCTCCTCCAAGTGCTGCAGATATGTTGGAAAATCAAAATCCTGGACAGAGAAAAATGAAGGAAAATGAAAGAGCATTGAGGAGACAAACTTTTATGAAGCAGACTTCTTTGGATGAGTCTGATGAACAAATATTTGTTGACAAAGAGGAAACTGGGAATGGCTCTGAAGATTACTCAATGGAGTTCCAGACTATGCCTGCTGATGGCACAAGAGGGGACAACAACCAACAATGTCCATACTACATGTACTTCAAACAGTTTGATAGCCCACCTCCGCCACCACCTCTGCCCAGAAGTTTGCCGTGGCAGTCCAAAGTGCGACAGAAAGACATAGACATGTTTTTGGACAATGTCAGAATAAAGTTCGTTGGTTATTCTCTTCCTGGAGATAGGCAGACGATAGCTGGCCTCCCACAGCCAATTCATGAAGGCATAGATATATTGAAGAAACACATGTACACAAGCTTATCTGAAATCCAAGCTGAAAGAGAAATAGAGATTGCTCGAAGTCCACTCACTAAGGGTGAGAGAGATGTGGAAGAAACTGAAGTTGAAGTATTGTATAGAGCTATGTTGCCAAACTTACCCCAATATATGATTGCTTTACTGAAAATACTTCTGGCTGCTGCACCCACGTCTACAGCTAAAACATACTCAATAAACATCATGGCTGATCTACTGCCTGAAGAAATGCCCATGACAGTCCTGCAGTCTTTAAAACTGGGCATTGATGTAAATAGACACAAAGAAATCATTGTGAAAGCAGTCACAGCCATATTACTCTTACTATTGAAGCATTTTAAATTAAATCATGTATATCAATTTGAATTTATGTCTCAGCATCTGGTTTATGCTAATTGCATGCCCTTAATACTCAAATTTTTCAACCAAAACATTTTGTCATATGTTGGAGCTAAGAATTCCATACCCATATTTGACTTCCCGGCTTGTGTCATTGGAGAACAACCTGAGCTGACCAAAGAATGTTTGGATATTGGAGATTCATCAGTTCCGTACTCGTGGAGAAATGTTTTTTCGTGCATAAACCTGCTGAGAATTTTAAACAAACTAACTAAATGGAAGAACGCAAGAATCATGATGCTTGTAGTATTCAAGAGTGCGCCGATTTTGAAACGCACACTCAAGGTTAGGCATGCTCTTATGCAATTTTATGTTTTGAAGCTACTCAAAATGCAGACGAAATATCTGGGGCGACAATGGAGAAAAACGAACATGAAGACCATCAGTGCCATTTATTCCAAAGTACGTCATCGGTTGAACGATGATTGGGCTTTTGGTAATGATGTAGACGCAAGGCCTTGGGACTTCCAGGATGAGGAGTGTGCATTGAGAGTAAGCGTAGACCGCTTCAATCACAGGCGATATGGCACTGGAGGTGAACAAGAAATAGATCTGACTCCCCTTGAAACAGATATTAACAGTATTCTTGAAGCAAATGTTGAGCTTGATGAAGAGTTTAAAGAAAACTATGAGCTATGGCTAGAACAGGAGGTGTATAATAACGAAATAAACTGGGACATATTACTGACAGCATGAATCACTTTTATAAAAGTTTGTTAAGGTTTCATGTTGATATACTTTCTTAATACTTAATATTAATTGATAATAATGAGATTCCCTGATAAATTACATGCTTATGGAAGATTATGAATGTACTCAAAGATAATTCAAGATGTCATTAGACAGGGAAGAAATATTTTATTCTTTTTGTAATATTTTTACTACAAATTGATGTCTTTTTGCTTTAGATTTATTTTCTTACTTCATTGGTAATTTTATAGTGGAATTTAAAAAATTAAAAATATCTATATCATGACAGTATTTATATATTTAAGCATGTTATATCAAATTTTAAATAACTAGATATGCATTAAATTGTCATGTATTAAATGCAATTTTTGCTTAGAGTGGTAGTTGTCTCATCTTATGTGTAACATTTAATTATAATGAAGTAAAATAAAGTTGCCTTTAAACATCAGAACTGATATTGACAACAAATTGTTTTTTGAACCAGTTTTGTTAAAATATCTAAATAGAGTAATCAAAATAATGAAATGGAATTACAATATTGAAGCTAGATCTTTTATGGTTTTCTAAACAAGCTTAATAATGTATAGTTAAATAGTTACATTAACAATAAAATTGTATTGAGACATTAAATACTTCTTATTTATTAACCTAGTGGGATAGTTTGATGGAAGAGATCGCTTTAAAGCGATAATACCATTGTAACATAGTAGGCCACTAGATGGCGGTGTCTTGTTTTAAATCACGGTATGATTTGATTATCACTGATTTTATAATCTTATTGCATTATCAAGAACCCATCCGTTTTATCCTGTATACAGAATTTTTGGGAGGTTTTGTTGTATGGAAAGATCCTTACAATATGAATCTCGTTCAAGTTCGCAACTTTATTTCGGCTCTAGTAAGTAGATGTTTGTGTTTCATTGAAGTCAAGAAAAATTTGTACCTAGTACATGTAAAATGCTTAAAGGGTAGGTAGGTAAGAAAATATAGGAGTTGAACACAAGATTTTAATTAAATTAGACGACAATGTTCACTTTGCATTATCAATTTTTTGCTACTAAGTAGGTAGTTTGTTCTTTTACCGCTATCAATTTAATTACAAACAGCGGGAGCATAGAAAAATAATATTCCCAGAGCCAGGTGGTTTGTTCCCACATCAAACGTCTATTAGATGACATCCGAACATTTGTAATGCTTCCAACAATGCAAAGGACCCTTTTATAGCTCGGTTGAGCACTTAAGCGGCCGGGGGGTGGCGTGAAGCTTTTATTGGGGATGCTAATAGGTATAACGAGGTGAAAGTAGGTGGTTGGATCTCCTTGGATATCCTTTCTTCTTGTCATCAGTTTAGATTCAGGTTTTGGGACTAAGCTACTTTTCTTTGAAAAATTTTTTCGCTTCTCATTTTTTACAATCTTCATTGACAATCTTCTAAGGATTAAATATTTACCTACTTACTCTTAGTTGATCAAGGAAGAAAATGTTTTTTTTTTAATCCAGCAGACATGACTGTTTTAAGATCTTTGATTCTCTGATGGCAACAAAGATGTTTTAAAATTCTTTTCCAGAATCGCGAATGTGTACCTTATCCTAAACTAGTTATTAGCCGTTAGCCGCCGTCTCATTTGGGTCGGAACAGTCAAGATTTGCTCTAGAGAATTTTCCGCTTCGTAAACCGAGAAAACTGCTATCAACATGCGCGCACGCACAGCGATTGTTAGTCATTTCACGACAGTTTTTTCTGAGTGACAATTCTAAAATGTTCTCTACAAGTTTATTTGTTTTGTTAATTTTAAAAGCAGTGTATTCTTCAAAGATGTATTCTAATGATCTTAATGTGAATGATATTTTGCGAACTGATCTGATGCCGACCTTCTTTATGTTGAGTGGAGAAGAGAATAAGACTGAGAGTGTTCCGGAAATGAGGACCACTGATAGCGCTGAAGAAACGACCTACAAATCAATAAATGGATCTATTGATGCAGCTTTGTCCACTTTGGCGTTCCACAGGTAAAGTTAACGTCCATCTTTGGTTCAAAATCATTTCAAAATACATAAATTCAGGTTTTGTTCAATCATGTGGGCTTTTACAGCCCTAAAGTGTGATTCAAGCCTTCACAAAGTTCTCTCCGAAGTTGACTCCGAATAACACCTACCTATTTAGTATTTACCACCACCTATTTTCGCAATCATCAATGTAAGTAGCTAGGTATGAGTAGGTAAAATATAAAATATTCCAACTTACTTATGTGAACTGTTAATAGTTAGGTATTTATTTAATTTAACCATTTAAACCTTTCAGACAAATGATGAACGAGTACCACTGCAGAAACTACGTGGCTGAGCAAATACTGGAAGAAATGGGTAAAAGTGTAGTCCAGAGCCGCGTCGGGAAGCCCTTCGGGTTTGAGGATCTTGGTGACGTCAACCGGCGCTCGTCAGACCTGAGGAGCAGTGCGCTGTTTGACATCGGCTCGGCGAACTACCAGGAGTGGCTGAATAAGTTAGTAAATTAACTGTATTCAATTTTATTTTTAGTCAGGTCAAATTGGGTAAAGTGGGAATCGAACCCATCACCTTTCGTTGCTGGACGACTGCTCTCATTCTTAAGTTATTTTGCATTTTTCATTAATTTTGAATTTAGAATGCGTCAAGAAGTTAAGATTAGGGTGCTAGAGCTCTACATTACACAAATCAAGAGTTTAAGTGCTTTAAGTACCCATTACCTACTTAATTGGTTTAAAAATCTGATGAAGAAGTTTTTGTCACTAAGTAGGTCGTAGACTACCCTGTTCATACTTACATGTAAGTATGTTGTCCATGGTAGGTAGGTACTTTTCATAAAGTTTAGTTTTAGGTGGAACTTACATCACAGCTTTACACTTTATATAATATCTTTGATACATTACATTTTAGAATAGCTGCAATAAACAACGGCTACCGCCAGTTGAGCGCAGTCCCCAACCTCGAAGCTGGGGGTAACTTCACCTTTCCAACTGCCAGCGGCCCTTCCCAACCCCGGGACAAGTATGAGGTCTACGAGCCCGCTGAACCAGAGGCCACGTACAACGAACCAGACGCGGCGTACCAGGATATATCCAAATACAGTAAATCTTTTACTTATTTAGGATAAACTAACAGAGGTGGATAGATTCCATAGATCAACTGTGATTTCTAATTCCGAAAATCGGGACCCCTTCACTCTACCCCGAAAGAAAGCATTTCTGAATATAATATGATCTAGCTAGTAGTTCTACTTAGTTCGGTTCCTGAAAACAACAGAAATCAAAGTTATTATTATTCTGTGGTTGTACCTACTACTTACTTACTTACCTACTTATGCGCCTTGCCAAACCTTGAGTTTATAGTTTTTTGAGTTTCTAGTCTCATTCTTGAAAAATTTGCTTACCTATTTTAGCTTTAACAAAACATAATGAAATCGATGGGTGCCTGGAATAAAGCCGCAATCGACAAAACACAATTTTACAGGAGAAGAGATTTAGTGAAATTTTTGAATAATAACTAAACTACGAGGCGTATCCAAATGGTTTGTATATCAAACGATGCGTTATTTTTTCTGGAGTAACATATAATGTGCATAAGGTTATAGTGCTTAGAATATACCTTAAAAAAGGTAGAAATACATATTGCCGCTTCATACATTGAAAATCGGTTCCGTAAGAGTCCATTGTGGTTTTATTCCGGTAAAAAGTGCAAAAGTAATCATACAGCAATAGTGCATTGCAGCGTTGTGCGCTGATCTGAAGGATGTATGGCGAATACATTAATAGCGGTTTGCTTGAATTTAATGATCGACTTGGAAAATGTACTGGTGAGTGCTGTGTACATTATATGTTCATATGGTCCGTATCGAAATGAGTACAAAGTTGAATATTACTTGTAGAAGTTTGAAATAAAACTTTTAACATTGAACATGCCACGATTATTCTGGTAAACAAATTTCCGGGAATAACGATTCAATATCCATAGTGCTTTTGGTAAATCAGCCAGTTTCAAAGATAAAATTCTGAAAAAAAATCACAAGGTGTATAGGGACCCCCAGATTACGAAAATCGCTTAATCGGAAAACTGCTGCTATGGCTATTGCGGCTTTATTCCAGGCACCCATCGAAATTGAATAGGTACTGTAACACAATTTCTGTTTCAGCTCATTTAAATTTATTGCCAAAAGTGCTATATTGGCTTCTCAGACCATAGCTACATAGCCTACCTACGTCTAGGTACAAACTTATTAAATCTTAACGAGCCGGTTTTTACCCCGTCCGGCACCGGCCTCGTCGACACACGTCCTTTAACAAGACTATTTCTAGGTGGAGCCTACGAATACTCAATGCCGCCGCCGCCGCCGCCACTGTACCACCACCCGTCATCGCAGGAGCCGGAGCACGAGGAATACTCGGTGGAGAGAGACGGCCACGGGCTGGGCATCTCTGAACTGTTTGACATATCGCTCACGGGGATAGCCTTCTTGTCGTTCGGCATGTTCGTGCTGCAAGTGCTTATGTGTATTACCATGGTAAGTCCTTATTCATAATCAGAGGTCAGAATCAGGTAGAGTCATTTATGTACTTGCATCGAAATGTTGATATTAATGTGGACCTTTCCGATACACCAAACAAAACACAATAGGAAACAAGTAAGCGCATTCGACGAACCGAGGTAAGCGAATGAGCAGAGTGAATAAGTAAACCGATATGTGGCAACATCGCGCGGATTTGTTCTGCTCTTTAAAATTAATCTCGGGATTTCCACTTTATTCTTTCGCTGTATGAAATCAGTGTAGGTAAGTAGGTACATGAATAACTCTACCTAATTCCGACCTTTGTTCACAATAGAAGTTTTTTTATCCACAACGAGGAAGCTCTAGGCCTGTATATCGCCTAATGGTAAGTGATGATCAGATTGAAGGTGGAAGCTTCACCTGGAACGGAATCCTCAACCACGGAGGAGCTGGCTATCTTACCTCTAAATGCCGGAACACAACAATGCTGTTAACATTATTGTTATTGCGACAGACTTAGGTAAGATGGTGGTAGCTAGCCAGGCGGACTAGTCGAGTGTAAGTAGTTACAGTCGAAATAACATCAGACTGTAGGCGATTTTGCCGGCGTACCTACCGTCGAAAAGTACACAGGTACATTGTATCTTAGTTTCAACCAATACTAGACAAAGGCTTTCTCCAAGGATTCCAACAACAATCTTTCCTGCGCTGCACGCATCCAGGCTTATCGCGACCCTCAAAAGATATAGTCGGTTCACTTAATCTGCCTAGTTGGGCACTAGGTCCCTACGTCTTCCGGCCCGTGTGGTTACCGCTCGAGAACTTTTCTATCCCGAATCCCAACATTGTACCCTATTTACTGCCAATTTCTCAGAGTCGTGATACTAATTCGTTTACCTTTACAGCATCCACAACAAACTCAAGTGATGCAGATGGTCGACAACAGCGATTCTATGAACGTCGACGACGTGTTTCGATTCAAACGCGACACGGAACCTAGAAG